AAACAATTGAAATGCTTGTCATTCATTGTTTATGACCATATCTTTCTCCCTTTCAGGTTACATCCATAATCTCCCATCTCATTGAAAAGACATTTGTGATCAATTTAAATAATACTTTTGATGTACCCTTTTGTTTTTAATTATTTATTAATTTTAAGAAATATTATTAAATTTTTTTATTATAGAGATGTGGGGTACAAGGGAGGATTTGCCACATTATTTGGCTATAGGTAATGTTTGGGCTTCTAACTGGCCCTCACTCCCCCTGGTACTGGACTAGGTATCCTTTGTGTCTTCTTGTGACTTTCACTGTCCTTCTTCCTTTCTTCCCCTAATAGTGCCCTGTGACTGTCAATCCCACCCTTATGCTAATATGACTAGTGTTTAAGGCCCACTTATGAGTCAGAACATTTGGTATTCGCTTCTTTGTTTCTGTGATCGTTCACTTAGTATGGTGGTCTCCAACTCCATCCAAGTTGTTATGAAGGTCATGACTTTGTACTTTATGGCTGTGCAACAGCTTTTTTGCTTTTAAAAGGCCTTTGACTTTCAGTTATCTCTATTCTGAATGGATGAATATGCTCATTTTTAGGAATTTTTTCAAAAATAAGCTTTCATATTTGTGTTATGTTGTTGAATATTGGAAATGTAAGAAAAAGCGTCTATTAGAATAGAATGAAGCATGAATGATTCATATCAACGTTTATATACTGAAAAGTATTTTCTGAAGAATAATAATTGATTAGTACAGGAGTGTGACTGTACTTTGGATTGCCACCCTGTAATCACACAGTGAAATAATGGATGCTAGAGTGAAAAACAGTTAGTGTTAGAGAACAAGGCATGATATGGAAGTGTACACCATTTGTTGGTTGGTGTAGTATTTCTGGTGTGAACAACCAAGAGCAACAAACAGAGGAGGTGACATGAATGCCTGAGGGTCATGCATGGTCTGAGTGCATGGGAAGGGATGGATAAGCACTGGTGGATGTGAGGGGCCATGGGATGTCCAGCAAAAGCAAGAAGAGGGGTTTTACCTGTGCTCATGCTACAGTTAGGCAGGATACTGTGTGATGTGAACACACCCAGAAGTGTGCAATAGTTGAAGATAGATGGTTGGGTGGAGGCCCACCCCACACAAGATGAGTATCTCATCTTCTAAGGGTGATAGAATAGTCTGTGGGTATACAGGGAACAGTATTTTTGTGGGATAGGACTCAGAAGACCCTGTCCCATGAGATGTCTCAGAGAAGCTAGGGATTAGCTCTGGATAAAGGGGCCACGTGTGCACATGTTAAGGAGGCATTTTCAACTGCCATGTCTAAAAGTCTGCTTCACATGGTGGTGTAGGGACCATGCTATGGTATACATGGAGCTGAAGGAAGAATAAGGTGCACAGGAAAAAGGAACAGAAGTACAAGGTCACAGTCAGTATGTGGGGAGGGCTGGGAGGGTAACTGGTTGGACCTTGGAAGAGACTTTTTTAGGGACTGGTGAAAGGCAATAATTAGCATGGTTCATTCAGTCTCAATTAGAGAATCTGATTCTTTCTGAGATATATTTGTATATGAATAGGTCTTTGAATACAAATTTTTTTCTACTTGGAATAAAATTTTATTCATTAAAAAATATTCAACTTTAATTAAAATAGATGATGTTTTGTGGTGCAGCAATTTTAATTTTACAAACTGCAAATTGTTTACAATATACACATTATTTGACTGTCTTGTGTGACAATTTCCATATAAAGTAAATTATATGGAAATGTTTTTTAAACATTGTCCAGATTTACCATAAGTTTATTAATTTTGTTTTATTATTTTTGACCTGCTATTAGATTCTCCTTTTTTCCCCCAATGCTTTATTTAGGTATTTTTAGAACATCACTATTTATAATTGCTTTTGCTAACTTTTAATTTTAAGATGTCGTTTTTAACCTTTACTGAGTTTTCTTTCCTCATAGGTTTTCTAAACTTATTAATTAATTAATTAACTTAATGATTTCCTTATTTTGTCTTGTTTAATAAGAGTGTTAAAACCACGAATATTTTTATGGTTAATAAGAGTGTTAAAACCATGAATATTTGCTAGTCATGCTTCTTTTTAAGGAAAAGATTCTAATAATCTCTACTGAAATTTTGTCATTTAGCTCTTTCACTCACTCATGAATACAGCTAATCTTTCCAGTGATGAACAATCTTTCATATGGGAAATATAGAATATTCCATGACCTGCTACATTCTATATTTTGCTTCACCAAAGTTAGTGATGTGTAAAATGATGTTTAAAGAAAAGAATTTTGTGTTCTGTCTCCACGTGATTTTGTTGAGTTTCACCATATCAGACATGAAATTAATGGAATATTTGATATAGACATATGCATTCCACATTTTTAGGGCATTTCCTGTTTATATTGATATATTTTAAAAATGTTTCCCTTATTTTTGTGAAAGTTATTAGGTTAACTAAAGAAGTTATGGAAGCCGGGCTCGGTGGCTCAGCCTGTAATCCCGCGCCTTTGGGAGGCTGAGGTGAGTGGATTGCCTGAGCTCGCGGGTTTGAGACTCGCCTGGGCACTGACACCTCATCTCTACAAAAAAAAAAAAAAAATGAGCCGGGCGTGGTAGCATGCGCCTGTAATTCCAGCTACTCAGAAGGCTGAGGCGGAAGGATTGCTGGAGCCCAGCAGGTTGAGGCTGCGGCTGGGAGTGGCCATTGCACTCCAGTCTGGGCGACAGAGTGAGACTCCCAGTCAAAAAAAAAAAAAAAAAAGGAAGAAGTTATGGAAATACTGCATTAATTCTAACAATATCTACATCTTAAAATTGTTTTGTAGAACTTATTTCAAACTTTCCATGCTTAGTAAAATATGATGATCTTAATGAGTAAAAGTATATTTTTTCTTGCTCAGAAAAATTGCTAATGTTAAATGGGGTTGAGTTATCTGTTGTCTGCAAATTAAATGAATTGCTTTCCGTGATATTGTACTGTACTTTTGGAAGGTTCTAACACTTTTGCTGTTCTTTCTGATCTTTTCATGGGTTTTTACTAAGAAGTCCTAAAAGGTTCAGAATGAAAAGAAAGGTGATCTGAGGCAATAATTCTTCACCAGGAAAATTAAAAAGTCAGTGATTTAGGAGCTGAGGAATGCAAATCCAGGATGACACTTTGCAGGGCACTGATGTGTGGTGAGAAAGAACGGACTAATAGGAGTTTATGTTGCTTAATATTTACTCAAAGAAAATGGATTGTTAAAAGGAAACATTTGCTTTGGTAATAAACAGATGTTTGCCTTGTAATGGACAAAATGTGTGATACTTCCCACTGGGAAAGAATGAAGGAGGAAAGGGAAAAAAAAATAATAAGGATATTGCAGGGTGCTTCGATTTTGCAATTACAAGATTGTGGTGCTCATGTAAATCAGGAGGAAAGTATACGGTTGCCACGTTACAAGTCCCTCCTACTCACATTAGTGCTATTAATAAAGTCACGTTTCAATAGATGGCAGAATCACACCTGTGTGAGGCAGTTCCATCTTGGAGGAATATTGGTGAGGTTTATTCAGCCAGATCTTTGGGCTTGTTCATTTGATAATGATGTCACCTATCTATTAGTTGACCTAGCTGTGTCAGTTTTCCATGGGGGAAACAAAAGAAGTATAAAATGACAGGGTCAACTTGGATGAATGATTGCTAAGAGGTTACTCTGTGCTGTGCACTATAAGGCCTGGGACTGAAAATTCATGTCATATATGGCCCCTGACTTCATGAATCTCATAAACTGTTGTGAGTAGACAGACACACAACTTAGTAAAATGCAAGCAAAACAAAACAAAAAACAAAATGAATTCCTCAGCAAGTGTTTCACATAGTTAAGGACAAAGGTCATGGGGAGGGTCTAGTGGTAAAGGACTATTTTTCATAAGAGAAGACACCTTGAAGACAGGGGATAAAGAAAGGACTGGTCATTTTATAATGAAGAATGAATTAGCATCTTCCTGAATAAAACTGTGTCATGAATCAGATAGAATGTTAATTTGGAAATAAAATCAGATATTACTTTTGTTTGGGAACAAAACATCTCTTTAATTACATGCTTCCAGTAACAGGAACCACATTTTTCATCCACACTTGGAGCTGATGTTTAAAGTGCAAAAGATTTCAGGAAAAAAAAAACATATAAAATGATAATGATGGCATTTCTCCATTAGAAGTGAGTTTGGGGTCATGAGCACCCAGGGTCTCTATAAAAGGAGGCAAGCAAAAGATAAAAATAAATAAATGAGCAAGAACCGAAGAAAAGAAGAAGAGAGAGAAAGTGTATGAAATGAACAAAGGCATGAAGTCAGAAGAAACAGATTCAAGTGTTGCCTTTATGACTCACTAAGTATATACCTTTGGCTAGATCACATGAGCTCTCAGGATTAGATTTTTTTAAAATGCCAGTCTCTTCTGGTATATTTCAACCATGTAAACTTATAAACTAATTTCTACACGTTTGGTCTCCACTCCCTTGACCTCCCAAAGTGCTGGGATTACAGATGTGAGACACTGGACCAGGTCCAATTTTCCATCTTTTTTGGCAATGAAAAGTTATTTTTCTTCCTTAATTGCTCTAATAAAGCCTCAGGCTTTTGGCAGTTACCATTATCCAAGTCTCCCCCTTTCTGTAAATAGAAAGCTATTAATGTAAAAGAGTAAATTTAGATAGAAAGGGTGATCTAATTATTTTCTACGAAAGATGATGGTGTTTCTTACTGTCTGCTTTTCTCTGCTTTGGTACGTCAGAGGACAGCTAAGACATTAAGAGTATATGTATTGCATTTATTTAGAATGTACACATTTGGAAAATAATAGATCTAAGTCACTAGATGTAAAGACATAACTGATAAGCACTTAACATTCAGTAATTTTTGGGAAGCAACATTATCACTCATTTGATTTCATACAGTATGTAATCTTTCTCAGCTATGCCTCAGCCTTCAGGAACAGACTTTGCACATGGGGATGGTGAGGAGGACCAATGAGAGCCACCTAAATGGTTTCATCCTGTTGGGGTTTTCTGATCATCCTCAGTTACAGAAGGGTCTATTTGTGGTCATATTGGTCCTGTATCTACTGACAATTTTGGGGAACACCACCATCATTCTGTTATCTTGCTGGGAAGCCAAACTCCACACGCCCATGTATTTCTTCCTTTCTCATCTCTCCTTCTTGGACCTCTGCTTCACCAGCAGTGTTATTCCCCAGCTCTTGGTAAACCTGTGGGATCCCATGAAAACCATCACCTATTGGGGCTGTGTGACTCAGCTCTATGTCTCCCATGCCCTGGGTTCCACCGAGTGTGTCCTCCTGGCTGTGATGTCCTATGACCGCTATGTGGCTGTCTGCCGACCCCTTCATTACACTGTCTTAATGCATCCTCGACTGTGTCACATCCTGGCATCCATGGCATGGCTCAGTGGAGTGGTGACTACTCTGGTACAGTCAACACTCACCATGCAGCTGCCCTTATGTGGGCATCGACAAGTGGATCACTTCATTTGTGAGGTCCCTGTGCTTATCAAGCTGGCTTGTGTGGACACCACATTCAACGAGGCTGAGCTCTTTGTGGCTAGTATCCTCTTCCTTATTGTGCCTGTGTCGTTCATCTTGGTATCCTATGGCCACATTGCGCAAGTGGTGTTGAGGATCCAGTCAGTCATTGGGAGACAGAAAGCATTTGGGACCTGCTCCTCCCACCTGATGGTCGTTGTCCTCTTCTATGGAACCATCATCTTCATGTATCTGCAGCCGGCCAAGAGTAGATCCAAGGACCAGGGAAAGTTTGTTTCCCTCTTCTACACTGTGGTGACCCCCATGCTTAACCCTCTTATTTATACCCTGAGGAACAATGAGGTCAAAGGGGCACTAAAAAAAATTCTGGGGAACATTCTAGGAATAAATATTACATGACAAAAAAAATTTAAGTGACTCTTTTTATGGTAAAAGCATATAACAACTTCTACTAGGAAGATTTTGGGGTCATTTTCTTTTGGTTAAATACTTACAGAATATTTTTCATTGTGTAAACATAACCATAAACATATACAAAATATATGTCTAGTCCCAATTTTGCCATTACCAGTAATAGCATAAAATGAATCCTTTATTCAATCTGTGCTTCAATGTCTTTTCTGCAGAATATATTATTTATGTAGAACATATGAAACTACTTTTAAATAAATGCTTTACTATAAACATGAAAACATTTAAGAAATGTTTAAATCACTCAACCTCTTTTACTTTCAGTTGCAAGTAACACATTCACCTCTAAGCCTTCCCAACGTCCTAGGTAGATCTGTGACTTGTTCATTTCCACTGATGCAGCTGAGATGCAGGTTGAGCAAACTGTCACGGAGCATATTTTTTTCTTGCTCCCTGTACAGCATCCATTTAAAATGTAGAAGATATGTGTAGAGATGCAACAGCAATATAAGGACATGACGCACACATTAAGGCGATGTGTAAATATGTGGAAAGAGCCTGGTTCTCTGACTTTGTTGTTGAACTGATGAACCAGTTTGGATTGCCTAAAGCTGTTCTGAGTCTTTAGCAAAAGCAGAGCTTTAGAATTTTCTGTGGTTTACCCAGGCCTATGTATAATAGTACATTATTATTATAACTCTATATCTCTGTTAAATAGTATATTTCAATACTTTAGATATTTATCTTCTAGATAAAAGTTTAATTAAACTTTTAATTGTTTCCCCTAAAATACAGATCTTCACTTCCCATAATGTCACTCTTAACAGCCAGCCTTTGCCCATTCCATTCCACTTGTGGAATTGAGGATCTTGATTTTAGAAAAATTTGTGCGAATTCATATTATTATTCTTTGTACTTCACTGTATTATAGCAAGCACTGAATTGCATAGTCTGTGGTAGGAAATAATACTTTATGTTCAAGCTTAAATCAGAATAAATAAATGAATTCAGTGAGATGAGGGACAATGTCATGGGAAGGTCTTGTAAATCCAAGTGTGGCAATCATTTCAAATAAGGGAAAAAAAGGGAATACATTGTCATTTATAACTGTCCAGAAGCAGAGGCATAATTTGGAACACAATGCATCACCTGGCTTCTATCATTTCAGTGTCTAGAATATGAATCTCCAATTATGTATCTAGTCATTCATTACATTTTTGGTGAGCATAATGGTTAAATAAATAAATATAATGAATGTTGTGTACTGTGCTACTTGCTAAGTATAGGGAGAAGGCGAGACATGAATGGTATATGCCCACATGGAACTCATTTCCTTTAGGAAAGATGGACCCTAAAACACTACAAGACAGTCAAGGAAATGAAACTGGATTAAGATGCATAAAGGAAAATATAATGAGAGTTATGCAATTGAATATCCAGGAGCCATCTGAAGGCTTCCTGAGAAAGCAGAAATTAACCTGTGACCTCGATAAAGCTAAGGGGCAACCTGGAGGACTACCCAGGAGGGATTGGGTTAGGAATGGGAAAAGTTTCCAGTAGAAGACTTGGCATAAGGCTATGCCTTCAAGTATCAGCTGTAATTTTATTCTGACATTCCAAATATGGGTAATGTGGGACTTCTGTTCCCAAGACTCCCCCATGTTGCTACAAATTTTCTGAGGGCATTTTATTCTTAGAGTGACTATGGTCTTATGCTCCTTATACAATTCTCATGAGTGTAGAGAACTTTAAACAAGATTATATTTTGAGCAGGGATAACTCATATCACAGCAAGCACTAAAAACACTCAAATCTTCCAGATAGCTCTTTTTTTCCTTCTGCTGGCACTTTTATTTCTTCCTAGAAGCACTATATTCTTTTGTAATGTTAGAATCAATGCCTACCCTTTCTAAAGCTTTTTTTTATTCTGAAATCTGTAGTCTGAGTCTTTAGCAAAAGCAGAGCTAGTTAGCATCCCTAACTGAATTCTGAGTTTGGAAAAAAAGAAACAAACCTCTCAGGCAGCCCCAGATATATAATGTTGTAAATAAAGTCGCTCTGCTAACTCTAGTTAAAAGATGGGAACAGGGAATGTGCCACTGCTTCATGCAGCTGCTCTGCTCTACACAGGTTGGGAACTGGGGAGAAGCTGAGTGAAAACCCCAAGATGTTTCCTAACAGGTGAAGATAGCTTTTCCATGGTTATACATTTATTTGGTTGTTGTAGGTCTTTGACTGATTTCAGAGTTACCATAAAGTTATTTAACCAGTCTAACATCTTGCTGATGTCACTTTCTCAAAAAGTTCTCTTTCTCAAAAAGTTCTCCATCACCATACATGAGATACAACAACAACGTGACTTGTGTAATTATCGTTTGGAAAGAAAAAGCAGCATTGACTTTTTTTTCAATTTTCTTCACTAGATTTAGCATATGACAGTTTAATAAAATTCCTGTTATATTAATTCATGAATTTATCACATAATTTACCTAGGATGAATAAATTATCAATACATTCTACTCCAATTACGCTCTTGGAGTTTGGACCTAAGACCAGATGTGGGCGCTCTTATGATTCCAGGGAGATGGAGCTACTAGTCCACTCTGCTTCATGCCCATAATCCATCAGTGACTGAAGAGGCAGGACTGATGAGGATCAACATTACCAAAAGTGACACTTTTATTACACAAACCATGTCATCATTTTTGTATTCCCTATCAGGTGTATAGCAAACTTTATCACTCAGCCAAGCCAATAGCTATCACACAGTTTTCTATCTTTTCATCTCATCTCAAAATTTTGTTTCAGTAAAGCTGCACTTTAAAAAAATTTCCAGCAACATGTTCACATTTTTTGTCATATGTCACTTTTTGTAATTCCTTTTCACCTATTAAAAATTCACATCATTGTGAATATTCACTTCTCCAAAAAGGGTAAATATTCCTGCTTTGTATGCATTCCAAAAGTACATACTAACATGTTCTTTTTTTTGACGTTTACATTTTTTATATTAAAGATGTAGGTACTCACACTTTCTTAATGCAAGTGTTACTCACATATCTTTAGTGCCCATTTAACTGCTTCCCTTGTTGTGTTATAAACTCCATGAGTCTTATGATCCTGACCCCAATTCCCAGAACAAGTTTAATTCATATTTTATAAATAAATTTATTAATGGATTAAATGTCTGTCCCCATGAATTATGATAAAATAAACATAAATGCTCCACTTATGCAAGTCGTCTTTTCTTTTGACTAGAAAATGAGGGCCCTACAAGGGTACCTGCACGACCAATGTTTGTATACCTAATTCTACATTGTACCCCACATCTTTATAATAAAAACAAGAAAGGAATTGGCAGTAGTGGAAAACTGCCTACAGGGGGTGAGGGGGCTTGGGGTGAGAGTGGCAGTAGTGGAAAACTGCTAGGGGAGGGGGGCACACCTCATCGACAAGGTTACCTGCATAAAGAACATTTGTATACCGAGCCCTGAATTGTACTCCATATCTTTAAATTAAAAAGTTTTAAAAAATGGGGAAAGAAAAGGAAAATAAAGGTCCTTTTGTACTTTTGCCTTCTATTATGTGAGGATAAGACTTTTCTCCCCTTCTGAGGAAGCAGCAAGAGGGCCCTTGCCAGTTGCTGCCAATTTTATCTGGGACTTCCAAGCCTCCAGTAATGTGAAGAAATAGATTTATATTCTTTAAAAACTTTATAAACAAACATACCTTAAATATATTGGCCAACTTGGAAGACCTCATCTCTACAATAAATCAAAAAAACTAGCCGGGCGTGGTAGTGCGTGCCTGTAGTTCTGGCTACTTGGAAGACTGAGGTGGAAGGATCACTGGAGCCCAGCAGGTCGAGGCAGTGGTAGCCAGGAGTGGCCACTGCACTCCAGTCTGGGTGACAAAGTGAGACTCCGGCTCAAAAAAAAAAAAAAGTACAAAATATTCATGAAGAAATAAAAAAGGGACAATAAGTGGAAGAACAGTCCATTTTTATGCATGGATGACTTAATGTCATTAAAATACCAACATTATAGAAAGTAATTTACAGCTTCAATGCAATCCTTATGAAATCTCAATGACATTTTTACAGAAATAGAAAAATTCTTTCTAAAATTTATATGGAAGTTAAGAGACACTGGATAGCCAAAACAATGGTGAAAAAACAAAGTTGGATCACATACATGTTTTGATTTCAAAATGTATTACAAAGCTATAGTAGTCAATGTGGTACTGGCGTAAAAACACATATATAGATCAATGAGAGAGAATGGAGAGCCCAGATATAAACCCTGTATAAATGATTAAATTATCTTCGAAAAAGGTACCAAGATCACTCAATGGGTAACAAAATTTTTCTTCCACATAGTGCTGGTAACTGGATATCTACTTCACCCTTATCTTACACCATATACAAAATTTAGTCAATAAAACTTAAAGACCTAAACATATAACCTAATACTATAAAACTTCTTGAAGAAAGCATAGAGGAACAATTTTATGACATTGGATTTGGCAATAATTTCTTCAATATGACGCCAAAAGTCTAGGCAACAAACGCAAACAAAAGGAATTACCTCAAAATTATAACAAAACAGAAAACATAAAAATTTCCACAAACTTTTATGTATCAAAGGACATGATCACAGAATGAAAAGACAACCCACAAAATTGAAGAAAATCGTTTCCAATCATATGTTTAATTAAAGGTTAATATCTAGATTATATAAGGAACATCTACAACTCAAAAACAAAATCAATAAAATGCTTAAAAATATGTGCAGGATTTGAGTAGACTTCAGCAAAGAAGATATACAAGTAGCCAATAGGAATTTGAAGAGAAGCTCAACATTACTAACTATAACAGAAATGCAAACCAAACCACTATGAGATACCAGTTCATGAAAAACAGGAAAACATCAACAACAAAATAGAAAATAAAAAGTTGCTGAAGAAAAGGAGACATTAGGTACACTGTG